GGCACATAACAACAACAACAAGAACATCAAATAGAGTATAATGCATACCAACCCTGTAAACAGTCCCATGCCAAATTCACAATCTCTGACACACTCAAGCCCCTGATGGAGTCACTGTGTCAATCTACCTGGTTGAGGGTCTTCCTCTCTTTGCCACCCCACCAACTTTATATGCATGATGTCATTCTTCAAGGAATAGTTTCTCCTAGCAACATGCCCAAATTATTTGAGATGAATCTTCACCAATCTTGCTTCTAAGGAGAATCTACATATCTTACATACAGCTGAGTAATCTAGATATCTACATACAGCTGAGGAATTATTTTATCTTTAGTCATATGTATGAATGCATTTCGTACCTGACTAAGAATACAGCCACATTTTCTTCCTATCTTTTCCATCAAATCAAAAATTGGAAAATTCCATGTATTTAGCTGCTCCATAATTGAGTCCAAATTATCCATGACAAGAGGTTCAGGAGCAAGAATTGGTTTGTCCTGTAATGAAAATTAAGGGAGAAGTGTTTTTAACATCACACAGTTTTTATACAAAGCCATTCATGCTTTGGCAATTTCAATTTAACAAGGATTACCAAAAGCAAAGGACTTAAAATTTCATGTGAATGAATATTCTTAAAAAACTTAAGATGAACAGGACTATTGTGCCCACCTTAGAAGTAAAACACCTGTTTTAGACTATGAACTTTGCATTGTTTGATGATCATCCGTCTCTGGTTAATGCAAACTCTGGCAACAGTGGATGTTTATTCTAAAAGTTGTTATGGTGCATGCTGTCAAATTGGAACTACCTCACAGCTGACTCTGTGGTGGGTTTTCAGATGCAGTTTAATCCCATAGGGAGATTGGCCATCCTCCCAAAGAGCAGCTGGTCAACTGGAACCGTGTGCCCTTGGGATTGCAGTGAAGTTTCTTACCACTTAGAACACCAAAACACTACAGACTAATTTTTCTTTCTGAACCTATTTCCTTCTCTCCCTTTTTCTGGGTGAAAAGAAACCACTAGTTTACTCTAAGATGTATTGAAAGCATTTGGAAGCTAACTATGGTTTGAATTCATCAGGTATTCCGTGAGAGTAAGATGTGAATACCAGCTTCTGTGAAGGTAACAAACATGGAAACCTTACAGGGAAGTTTAACTTTCTGTCTATGGCATTTCTGATATTTAAAATTGACTAAATATAAATGGTACATACATATATGTATATATTCACACATATACACATATGTAGCCATGCATATATTTTTAATTTTATTTTATTATGTATGTGTGTGTGGTGTGTGTGTGTGTGTGTGTGTATCGTAAAGTCAGATCTGACTGGTACAGGAGGAGGTTGCCCCTCCTTCTTCTGGAGGATTTGAACCACATACTTCTGGGATTGCAGTGCAGCTTCTTGCCACTAGGCCACCAGAGTTCCCTAGCCATGCATATTTTTGAGGAGCTCATTTTACAAAATTTAAGGCTTATTTTCTTAAATGGAAGTTCCTGTAAGGATGTTAGAGAACTGTTAAATTGGCTGTTTATTTCTTGATAAATTTATGTAAATATTAAAGAAACCCAGACTCAGAGAGGGATAGCTTATATTTCAGAAGCAGTACTAATAATAAAGAATGACATTACCACATTTTTAAAAAGCTTTAAGAATAATTCTACTACTTCCTGAGAAGCTGCATCATGTAAATGCAAAGTCCAAATGAGGACACTCTTAAATGTGCATTTTCAAAAGAGAGGGAACAAAGGTAAAAAAAAAAAACCAATTCCAAATTGTGATGATTTACAAAATTTTATGTAACAATATATTTTTATCAAAAGTGGTAAATCAAGTAAAATAAAAAGGACAATAACAACAATTGATAATCATATCATATTGTTGCTGTGTGCTATCAAGTAAGAACTTAGCTATAGTTGACCTCCTGTGGGTTTTTAGAGGCAGTAAATCACATGGAAGGAGATGCCTATCCTTCTCCCATGGAGCAGCTGGTTGATTTGAATTTGGTGACTTTGGGATTGTAGCACAAGCTTCTTACCACTAGGCCATCTATTTTTCATCTTTGTTACTCCTATCAAATTAAATCTATTCAAATTGGAGCTTTCATTCTCCTTAAATGACCCAACATGTGCAAAATAAATTACCACTAAAGAATATTTTAATCATAATGTAAAGGGATTATTCTATGAAAATCAATAAATTTTTTAAAAGGAAAGAATAATTTAAAAATTAACTATATATATATGTAAATATTAAAATGAAAGGAATAGAATTTCTTAATATGATAATAAAAATAAAAATTTGATTGTTTCAGAAAGCAATAAGGTACTGGAGAAAAACCACCAGGGTAAAATATCATAAGATAACTGACATATACATTTCTTTTATTCATATTTATAGACATAGCATCATTTAAAATACTATTTTACAGACTATAATAATTTAGGGGGTGCTTATACTTTTTGACGGCAACCACTTGAGGCAATGAACACTTTTGTTTTTAACCACCAAGTAATAGCCCCATCAAGAGATCAATAAGGTTCGGAAGGCAGAGTTGTATTGATCAAAATAGGTATGTATCATATGTATGGTCCAAATAAGATGCATCTGTAACTCTGATGATCCAGGGATCGATAGCAGAGCCTAGCTCTACAGTAGAAACCAATTACACATGCAAATGAGTGAGTTAAGTGTAATGGGGCTACCAGGAACATCATGGCCTCCGGGGTGTAGGTATTGCAAGCTGATGCTTTCCTCAGTGGCTCTCCTTGGCACTCAGTCTCATCTTCATTCTGCACAATATCACTGCTGTCACTGTTGTTATTGGTTTCATAGTCAGAGGTAACCTGAGCTGTGTCATCTGTGATTGAAAGAGAATAGCGTATTACGGGACTTGCCATGGGAGAAAGGAGCTTCATTTAAACAACTTTCCTAAAATGAATATTGTGAATGTAAAGTTTAGAAAAAATACTGCTTAAGCACCAAATATTAGGATCATAGAGTATGAAAAGCATACCTTTCAAACCTATAATATAGACAAGAATTATCATCTGTGAGCTATACAACATCCAATAATTTACTGCCAGATGTGCAGACTGGGTTTAGAGGATGCCGCGGTACTAGGGATATTATAGCTAATGTTAGAAGGATCTAGACAGAAAGCAGGGAATACCAGAGGAATGTCTCTCTGTGCTTTACTGACTATGCAAAGGCTTTCAACTATGGATCACAACAAGCTGTGGCTGACTCTGAGAAGAATGGGAATCCCAGAACATTTGATTGTGCTTATGCGAAACCTATACATGGACCAAGAGGCATTCGTCAGAACAGAGCAAGGAGACACTGCATGGTTCAAAATCAGGAAGTGCGGTCCGCTAGGGATGCATTGTGTCCATACCTTTTCAATCTGTATGCAGAACGATCGTCTGGGACACTGGGCTGTATGAGGAAGAATGTGGCATCAGGACTGGTAGAAAATTCATCAACAACCTCCGTTATGCAGATGAAAAAACCCTGCTTGCTGAAACTGAAGAGGACCTGAAGCACTTGCTGCAGAAGGTCAAGGACTGCAGCCTCCAATATGGATTGAAGCTCAACATCAAGAAAACAAAGATTCTCACCACTGG